ATAAATACATTTGAATTTGCTCATTATGGGAATGATGGATGCTATATATAAAACGAATCATATTCACTAATATAGAACAAATCTGACAACCTCAGTGCCATTACCTCGCCAAGTGCCACACCTTAATGTGTCACAGTTACCTTACAAATTACATTATCCTGCCTGTGGAGCCATGTCTCTGCAAAATAAGCAACTGACTGCGACATCTTTCTGGTTTGGCAGCTTGGTGATAACAATTTAACACACAGAAGCACATTAACCGAATCCTTGTAGGAATCTGCTCCAAATAAAAGATTATATTTCAGGGAGCCCATTTTTTCACCCAGAGTTACTGGGCACATAGTCAGTGATTAACAGCCCTCTAGACATGGAGGACAAACTGTTAGGGAAGATGACTTAGGCTGTGCAAAGCTTTCTGTTTGCCTCTCTTACCTCATTTTTTTTGTTTCAAATGACTTTGCCCCAGCCTGAACCCAAGATGTCCCTGTGTGATACAGCTTGCTCAACCTTTGACACAATTGCACAATTGATTCAGTTGTTAATCATTTGTCCCTGACAAAACAAAAAACAAAAAACTAACAAAAAAGACCTTTCCATCCATGGGACCCTTGCTGTCCGGGAAATACAGTGCACATCCAATATTTCAACACCAGCAAAAGATTCCCTAGATTATAAATACAGAGCACCCTCTAGATTTAACTGCAAACCATGACAGTGATCCTGGCATGTGGAATTCTCAAGGCAACCTGCTTCTGTCTGCTGTTTGTCTTTGTTTTGTTGCCTCTCACCATGCACATCTTAGTGGTGAACACGCAGAAGGAAGTGGTGCATTAGTAGAAGGAAGTGAGCTTAAAACAGCAGCAGGGACACATGAGAAAGAATTTTCTACACATTAACATACTTTTCATAGAGAAATAAAATGCACAATCGAGTTCTATACATAGTTTACAATCTGGTTGAATTAGAGGTAGGTCTAACACATAAAATTTACAACAACCACAGCTCGTTTTCTGCATCCTTGGGTCCATGGATCAGAGGGAATGTTGCCCTGTAACAGTGTCATCTTCCCCCAGTCTTGCTCCTTCTCCGTGGCTGACTGTAATAGCTGCGTCTGACTGCTGAGCTGTTTGTAAGTCCCAAAGCACTTAGTGCTAACAACACTGTAAGTCACTGAACATCACTTTCATCACAGTTGAAAATGAAGCCTTGCTTATGCCCACTATGAACACCAAGCTTGCAAGTGCAACACATCCTTTGCAGAGTTCATAACCCCAACTCAAGCTTGAGACTCCTTGCTTCCTAAACAAAACCTATACAGTTTCACCAAACATCAGGTTTTGTTAAAATGGCAGTTTCCTGTTCAAAGAAAAACTGTGAAACACATCAGAGGTGACAGACCTTCCCTGGGAAAAGTCAGATTGGAGCCAGCAAGCAGCTGTTTACAATACCATTAGTGCACTTCTCAAAGAAAGTTTCTTTTTCTCCTTCTCTGAGACAACTTTTTTATTCCCTTCCTTCTGCAGAAGAACACAACGGGCTCATTCAAAGGTGAGAGGAGGTGTCCCACCAACTGTAATGGTGAAGAACGTAAGGTGGCAAAGAAATGGTAAAATTTATAATAAAGAATGTTTTCGGATGTTTACTACAACTGACTCCATTGCATCACACTTTTTGTTAATAATACAGTTATTTTCTGGTGCTGAGGCTGGTCTCTGAAAGGCCCTGGACATAAAAAACTCACCTTGGTGAGCCTAATTCTCCTCTTCTGGCTTTTGGTTCACTCAAAATAATGCCTCACAGTGACTCAGACCAAATCTGGCATAGGTTCACCTACTCTGAGAGCTCCAAGTCCTGTGAAAATGGTAAGACAGGGAAGAAAGTACACAAAGAAAGATAACCCCACCATGCCCCATCCCTTGTCTCCATCTCCTCTCCATCAGACTTCAAGATCACACACACAGAAACTAATTTTCAAACTAGAAACAGCATTTTTAGAAGAAAAAACTAAGACACTCATAATCTGAATATGCCAAATATTACAAAATTTACAAAAAATGCAACATATCATAGCACTGTAACTTCTGCTCATTTCAAATACAGCTGGCTTCTGCAACTGAGAGCTGTTCTTAGACCTCTAATGACTGTTAAAGAAGACAAAGATGCCAGAAAAGGCTTTTTCACAGTTAGTACCTGGCAATAATTCATCCTAATCCTTTATTTTCACAAATGTCTGAGGCTGAAGGGACAATGATTGCTGCCTGTTAACCTGATTTTCTTTTAATCTATTGTGATTTCCTTTCTTTGCTGGTGAGGAGTATTTATAGAAGTGGTGCTACAGGAGAAATGACATAGGGCTGAAAAGCCAGCAAATAGTATCAGATCTTAAAAGACCTTTCTTAAAAAAATACATTCTGTATCTGAAAGCCCCTTGAATGGGCAACATCTGAGGCTATTCTTCTCATTGAGATTTTTCAGGTGCTGATAAAACATTTTAGGGTGATAGATGAGCCACAGGGCAAACACGTCCATTGAGATAAGACTATTTAAAGCTCTAGAAACTAATAGCCAGAGAGCTGTTTCACTAATAGACCTGATATTTCCTGCCTCCAGTAGAATAATTTTAGAAAGAGACAGGCAATGTCACAGGTACTCAGGAAATCCTATCAGGGTATCTCCCCACATTCCTCACTGTCATGCTGAAATGTGTAATTCAGTTTCCCCACACTTTCAGACAGCAAGAAAAAAACCCAACCCTTTATTCTTCCCCATGCCAGCTTTACCTCAGGTATTTAAAAACAACAAAATAAAGGTTTTTAATTGGGCTCATCCTAAAAAGGAAATCAGTATGAGAAGACTAACTCATGGAAGACCTCATCACAAGGGAGTCGACAGAAACACTCTTACAAATCATGACTTTTGCAGTAGTAACATCAGAGTATAGCCAGGAACAGGGGGTGAGTCCCACTGATGGCACATAACAGGAACAGAAGGAGAAGCCAGGAACAGTGCCTCCATTTTCTGGTGGTCATGTGGACTTTCACTTTGTTCATTCACCGTGTGCATTCCACGCTGGCTTAGAGAGGTAATTGTAGAGAACGGACTCAAACCTCTGTAGAAAACTGCCAACAGATATCTCCTTTCATTTCTTTGACATGATACTCTTCCGACTGAGAAGAGCATTTGCCAGAAGAGTAAAAAATATGAACTTGACAGGAGTTCTTTGGAAAGCAAAGCAAAGAAAAAAGGAGACGTTGCATGAAAAACATATCACAACCTACAAACAGCCAGAAAGAGGTTAACTTCCCTGCTGTAGAAACTGTCACTGACTAGTGATTAAAGCACATAAAACATTGCCTTTAATCCAATGTAAGGGAGTTAAAATTGCATATTCCCAGTCTATACAATCAATTGCTTTCCCAGAAGTCACTGACAGGGAAAAGAGAGATCTGTCAGCATTCTCACTTCTGTAAAACCGCAGGCTGATTCTGCAAACTGTTTGCTAAATAAAATCTCATTACTGCAGGAGATCATGGCCTTAATTAGCATTAGTTAAATTGGGACCATTTCTTGAACTAGGCACATCTGAGTTGAATACTCTCATATACAATCTACAGACTCCTAGTGTGTTTCAGTTACAGTAATATTAATGTAATACAGCACATAAACACAGCACAGAAAGAATCAAGATTTTTTTTCCCTTCTGAACAATGCCAACAGACAGCCAGGTCCTTCCTACTTCAAGATTCTTCCCCATTGCCAGATTATATCTCAAACCTGCTTATTCTGAATTTTTAAACTGAGTTTACACAGCAACTGTGCAACATGACCCAACTTTTCTGATTTTTCAACCAACTTCACAGTGAGAGTACCAGACAATACCAACAAGAGTAGATTTGACCTGTCTTGCAAAAATGCATTTTCATTGAAATACATGCTTAGCTATGTCTTATTTTACTTTAAGCTGATGTTTTGTAGCTCATCGAGAACCAGATATCATGTTCCTCCTTCAAGGACACCTGAACACAGCTAGCCACATACAAATCAAAATGACATTAATGCTGGTATGCTTTCATCACAACAGAATGACCTTTATTCTTAGGTGAGATCCAAGTATTTCAACAATTTCAACACTGACAAAGATAATCAATGTTTCAGCATGACCTACTGGGCATTTCTGGTGGATGAGAAAGGGATGAGACATCAAAAAGTAGAAATACAGTAAAGTACATGTGCACACATTCACACCTCTCTCTCTTCCTCTATACAAACATGCACTTCTTACCCTTAAATTTTATTGCATTACCCTCTTGGCAAAGAATGGTACTATTCCTTCTCAACTGAGAGACCCAGTACTTGGTACCTCTGAATATCAAACATTATTATTTTGCATGTGGAACTGCGAGTTTCACTCCAGCAAACCCTACACATTGCCTCAAGCAGCAGAAAGGTCCCACTGACACAGAAGGTGGTATCATTACCATGTGGTACTGGATCAAGGCTTTGCTCTCAGTTCTGAGCATATTTCTGGAAATTTGGGGGCAGGGGGGGTTCTGCTTTCAAAATTGTCATGTTTAAATGCACATTTTTAATTTCAAATCTTACTCGAATGAAAAATGGCGAGCAAAATTAATTTCAGTTTCTCATGCCACAAAGGTACACTAGCTCTGGGAGCATCAAATAGTGTGGCCTGTCCCAGGAATGTGTAATTTTGCAAGAGGTGATAAAAATACCTACCGGCTTGGGATACTCATCCTAAAACACCCAAAAAGAGGCCAAAAATGTGGAGGCAGCAATTAAAATCAGCAAATTATGTATCTGCAAGATAAGCAACACTTAGTGTTTAAGATCAGTTATTCCCCAAATTGAGGATTTTCTCCTTTCCCAGATACTTCAACTGTCAAAAATACTGGCCATGCCAAACAAGAAACACCACACAGTAGGAATGGCAGAATTATCCCAGAAGAGCAAAAGCTATGAAACAAACTTACTGAAATGACACCTTTTTTTAATGTTTTTATTCATAACAGTATTACATGGTGTGTTACAGAAATTAATGGAAAATTTCTAAAAATTTGTTGGTTTCTTTCGTTGCTGTTGAATGCGTTATACATAACGTTAAAAATAATGTGTCCGTATATGTTAACAAATGGTCATTATCTGAGGTAAAGTTAAAGTAGGTTTAGAAATGTACTGAAACAGTCATTTTATCTTTCTCATCTTTATTAAAAAAATAAGTGTCAGAATGCAGAAATAAAAATGAATGAAAACCACGGAGTAAACATCTTTGCAAAGAAGGTGCCCAGTACGTTATTAGATGAAAGGTTTCATCAGACACTTGGATGACTACGATCTATCAAAATATTTTTTCATGACAGGTAAAGATCAAGAACCTACAGGGGATGATTACAGGATGGCTGGTGGGATTCCCTGGTTTTTAAATTTAAAGTGACGAATTTAGTGCTAGTGAAGGATGAGGGATTAAACAATTGCACAAGCTGGATATTTCAGTTATCTACAATACTGGTACAGTGTAGAGGCCCTCCAGCCCTCTCGACTCAGCATCTCAACCATGACAAGGACAATCATATGACAAGACAATTTGGAACTGTTTTTTATTTATGAGAGTTGGTAAAGGTAAGACAAAGGTCTGTGGTGATGGTCCAGCTGTCTCTCAGGAGACACTAGAATTCCAGCCTCATTCCCTCGGCACCTATTCGTGAATGATCCGCTTCCTACAAATATGATGTCAATGGATCCTCTGAGACATAAATCTCTTCTTTCATCATTTTACCCCATAACTGGAAATGCACTGACAATACTAAACCTCAAATGTCTATGATGAACCAAAACTGTCTTTGAGGTTCCACATGTAGGACAAAACCCAAAAAAAGCCACTGAGGAAGAAAGTAGCACCACTGTGCAAATCATGAAAATATTCTTACAGAAATGTTCTTTAGAAACACTTTTACCTCTGCTTTTAATCCTGAAACACTCAATCTGCCAAGTTTTAAATATCTTTTCCAGTTAGAAAACTTGATCTTTCTTCAGGTGGGAAAATAAGATTTGCTACAAAGCTGTTTGCACATGACTAAGGAAGAAGCATCAAATGACCATGAATGAGGATAAAAGTTCTCTTCTCTGCAGGTTCGTTAGGTCTATTAACAGCTAATTTTTCATTCACATACATTTGGTAACGCACATTTCTCTAATTTCTCTAATTCAAAATAAAAGACTGGAATCATGTTGGGAGATTTTTTTGCACATACCAACAGTTGCCACCCCAGTTATTTTGTCTTCTAAACCATTTTTAGCTTATAATAGAGATGAAAGAAAGTAAAACATTTATAACTCCAGGCCTATTTTAATCATGACAAAAAATGTAAATCCTAATGTGTCAATTTAAAAACAAAATCTGCACAATAACCCTAAAAACTGATTAATCATTTGATTTCTTTAACCTTTTTTCCTTTTTCTATTTTTCTTTTTTTTTTTTTTTTTACTTTTTTTTTTTTTTTTTTTTTTTTTTTTTTTTTTTTTTTACTTTTTTTTTTCTTCTTTTTTTGTCTTTTTAGTGTTAAACCACTAAATTCAATATACTGTAACTGCATAGGAACATCAGGAAAACACATTTGACCTGTATAACAATTCTCTGTAGGGCAAAAATATATAGATTCTTTATGAAAATCATGTGCTAAACATATGAACCCAAACACTGCACTTTTGCTTCATAAATGTAAAAAAAGGAAGTTTTAAATTCTTTTGTTCTGTGTGTAAACAGTTTGATGACTTCTATGCAGAGGTTCAAAGGAATGTCTATGAAATGTGAGCTCTTGTAAGTGGAATATGTCCGTGTGATAACGCTAGACCATAAAATCATGTGTTCCCATTAATTTTACTAGTTGCTGACAAGCTGACTGCTTTTGGCAAATGCACTTGAGCTTCAGCCCATTATTGTAAGCATGTGAAAAAACATATGTGATGTGAGAACCACAAATTGGGTTTGCCACCCCTCCCAAGCACTGCAACTTGCTACCTTCTCTACTGTGTAATGGCATTAGTAAAAGAATTTTCATAACATTTATATTTACAAAAAAACTGGCAATTTTCATTCGAACTCCTTAAAGCCATTTCCCCTTAAACATTTAAAGAGTTTAACAGTAAGATTTCTTTTTCAAGTTATAAAATAAAAATCCCATTTGATTTTTCTGATGTACAAAAAGTGATAAAGATGAACAATTTGATCACAGAATCAGTTTGTTATTCCAAAATCCATGCCGTCCTTGTCCCATTTGTAAAGTCCGCTTCATCCAAACTCCTAAACCAGAAGCATACCAGTATTATTTGGCAAATGATTTTTTTTCATCAAAAATGGCACACAGAGAAGAAAACACTTGTCTGCATAGCATTACAGCAGCAAGATACTGAAGAAATAAAAATATTCCTTTTCTGTAATTTGTTTAGAGTTTCCTAGGAAATACTGACTCTTTTGTCTTTCCTCAGTGGGACTCCAGGTCCTTTCTCTACCCACAACATGAGTATTCCAACAGAAAGCAGCATTTCTTCCTCATGATGTGCTAGAACTTAAAGGTCCATTTGGCAACATTTCAGTCAGGATGGATAAACAACCGAGTTTCGTTCTGTGGTTTCGAGTTGGGAACTGTTTCCGCAGGAGGTGTTTTGCAGTTAGATCTGTCACTCATACAAAACTACAGAATAAGAAATAAAATTAAAAAAAAAAAAAAAAAAAAAGAAGACACCACCAGTATTTTTTGTTGTTGTTATTTCAATATGTCTACATAGGGAAAAAAAAAAAAGGTCAAGATCGCCTGATGCAAATGATGATGAAAAACTTGTCACCGTGACATAAAAAGTGCCAACTTTTGCCCCAAAGGCTGTTGAATGATAGTGCCACTGCTACATACAGACCCTGCTTTTTGCTCAAAAGAAAAAGGAATGTCTATTACTCAATATGTGGCACATAGAAGATAACAAATCTTTAAAAGAAGACTGAGGAGTTAGATTTCCCAGCCTGGATGCCCACCACTTGTGGGGATGGGGCTGGACTCGTGGTACGATAAGCAGGGAGAGTTTTTATTTTGTGCTGCCATAGGAATCTGCCATTGGTTGCCAAAAAAAACACATCAGGAACACTCGAAGAGCCAGTCCAGGAGGGCAATCTCTCTCCTTGTCAGACAAAATCAATTGGAAAAAAGCATGAAAGCCAAAGGCCTGCCAGGTTGTTGGGTTTCGTTTGAGTCTTGGAGCACCACAAGCCTGTAACAATGCTATTTCTTAGGTCTGTTAATCTGGGCGTAGAGAGGTTCTGCTTCCTGGGGATAACAAAAATAAAATAAGCGGAGATGTCTCCATACAGCATTTTTAGAACATTTTAAGAACATCTGCTTGAGAACAGCAACACTTTGTCAGTCAAAACCCAAAGGATGTGTTTGCTTTCTGTGCTGCCTTGAGTGATCAGGGCACTCAGGGTAAATTGTAAAGAAAATGGGACATTATTTCAGAAAATGAATGCTTACTATCAGTTTCCTCTTTCAGCACTGGCCATGCACTTATTTTCACTGCTGGGCATAGACATTTGAAGAAATTAATTGATAATTTATCTGACTGGATGTTTGAAAGCTTAGAGGCCAGCAGCAGAAGTGCAGCCAGTGTACAAGGGTTTTACTTGTCCCAGGCTAAGACCACCCTAGCAGCACAACAGCAGAACAAACCTCTGGATTTTACACAACTCAGGGAGAAAACCACTTGCAAACAGAAACCACTGCAGAAAGCTGAGCTAATGAAGCTGTGATGGGATTTAAAATAACAACATGAGTTGCCTATGAAGAACTAGGAACGCTAGCCCAGCTCAGTTTGATTAGGAGTCTGTAGAAGTATTAGTACAATCATTAAAGCCAGGAGGAAAGCGTGTCAACTTGTTAAAAGATACTTTCTGGGGAATTTCCTGGATGGGGAGGGGAAAAAGCTGCCATGTTCATCAGCATTGCTTCATAGTTGACACCCTGTGCTTAATATTATGTTCATGTTGGCTGCAGTGGGAAGCAAATCACCCATGGACCCTGGAATCCATTCTACTTCATTTCCAGAAAGTAATTTATTAAACTAAGAATGACATCTAAAAAAAGAACAAGACAGGCAGAAAGGCTAATTAATGCCATACTGCATTAACTCTCCACAGCTTGATAAATATTCAAATACCACGCCACGACGTTGAATTTAACCAAGTTACAATCAACCCGTGTTACCGCAGCATTAGCAGGAGCTGACTTTGAGCAAAAAAAACTCTGAAGGCTGCAAATCACTGGGCACTGCAGAGCACAGACACGGATGGAACAGGATTTTAATCACTGCTTATACAAATGCTGGGGATGAGAAAAACAGCCTAAAGAGATTCATAGGGCTGTATGTACTCTGTGTCCAGGGTGCCTAGCCACTGTCCTGTCCCAGTGCCCTCTCCTGCTTCACTGTGCAGCTTGTGTTGAATGAGAAGCAACATAACAAATCCAAAATACAACCTGTTTCCTCCATGCCAAGAAAAGTTGTCTCTTATTCCCTGAAATTACTACATTTCTGGACCGTGTAGGGACCCTGTTTCCCCATCTCCTACCTACATGAAGCCCTAAGTACACTACAAGCATTATGAGAGGATGAGAGAAATCCTCTGGAATGATTAAATAAAGGCTTCTGAAATTATCCCCAGCAAGAAGCAAATATATTTTGTGACCTTGAAAAACCAAAGGTAATCAGAAGAGATGACTAAGAGTAAATAACTGCATTTCACACACTGTGCGTTAAGTGTACCTGTGCCAATTTTCACGTACCACAGACATGAAGCTGCCAGAATGATCCATCACAGCTAGTTCAGGGAAAATCTGTACTAATTAATGTGTGAACCTGACACACACCAGGCCATTCTTCAGGCAGTTGCTGAACCTGAGGTGATTGCAAAGTGAAGTGAAAAGGAAGGAGGAGAAGAAAAGGAGAGGGAGGGAGAACATCCCTTTGGAACAAAAGATGTCAGTTTTTCAAATGCCTTCAGGGGAAAAAAGAGCTTTTCAAAATGTCAAGCCTGCTTGTTAGAGCTGTCCTCAAATATCCTTAAGATATGCAGATGTGCTTAAGTAACAAGTGTCCTAAGGTGCCACTGAACTTGACACCCTTGGAAGAGGAGGAGGGGCTCATCATCGGTCATCAGCACTTTACACCGTGCACGAGGCAGCCTTTACGATTAGAAACTTCTTTGGTTCATACCCAGCATTTATCTGAACATACACTTGATGTGGCAGAGGCCTGCATTTCTCACTGATTTGGATAATTTATCTTCCAGCAGACCAGAGCATTTTGCATGAGAAATGTGCTCTTATGTCTTCCTTTCAGTTGATTTCCCCCTTCAGATACCTAAATGAGAAATTAATTGTAGTAATTGTGTGCAATCTTCCTAGCCAAAGTTTTTGTGTCAATGTCTCAGATTTGTTTTCTAACATTATTTTGAGCTAATTCAAGCAGCACATAGTGCCTGTAGCCCAACATTACAAATGGTATCTGTAAAGTATTGACGCTGGTACTCAGGAGGGCAAAAGACAGCAGAAAGGGACAGAAAAGAGGCAAAAGGAGAGTTGAGTGCTGTTGACTTCATAAGTAGCTTCTCTCACAGTGCTAGGCACTGTTTTGGAGGGTCTTGAAAGCAGAAATAAACACCCTTTTTGTAATACTCCACGCAAAAGTCACAGGGCTTGTTATGAAAACGCAGGTGAGCCATAACTCTTCTCACACTATCAGCAATGTTTTCTGCTTTCGACTTCTACCACTGCATTAGGAACAGACTCAGAGGGAAGGAAAGGAAAGAACTGGTCTTTGTCAGAACAAAAAGAGATAAACAAATAATATAGCAAACAAAGCTGCTAATTCACATACACCCCTTGAATCTGAGTGTTTTCCTTTCTGAACTGGCCCAGAAGCACTTCTGATGTGCTTTCATCAATCTACAGGGAGAAACCAAGATGGCAACTGGAAGCACCCTTTTTTTTTTTGCTACTATATTCTAGAGATAGTTCATGCTGTAAATCAGTTTACTCCTATGTTAAGGGGTACAAGACTGCAGCAAACTGTAAGTATTTCTGGTGCAGCACACTACTGCATGAGGCAACAAGGTCGCTAATGCTTTTGGATAACATTATGTAAATACTAGAAGTAAATTTGCATCCAATTTAAAGATATTAACATCTGCTCCCCAGCAGAACTAATCACTGGAGAACATCTCCTGAAAGACTCTGAACCTACTTAGGCTTGCAGAGGTGAACTCACTCACAAAACGTAACACGGGACTGGGTTAGGAAGAGACTATTTTTACCCTGGCAGCCCTTTCATCACTTTGAGACACCCTGCTACGTGCAGAGCTTCAGGCAAGATGTACTCAATTGAAGAGGTGAGGCCCGCATAGATTTCCTTGCCCTTTACAACAGATTCTCAGTGCCAGTTTTACTCCTGGCTGACTGATCAGAAAGGGCAGGCTCAAATGATAAGAGTTTCATGAAATAAGAGTGCTGGAGAGCCAGACAAAATGAGCATCTTGTGCTGGGGATGCAAGTGAAGGGGGTGGGAGTGTGATGCGTCTTCACTGTTTATTGCATGCTGACTCAGCAAAATAGGACATAGTAAAGTTGGCAAGCGGGGTTCAAATTAAAGATCTTTGGTGATAAGACAGGTCATTCCTATTGGCCCATTAACAGCCAGGTTTTATTTACTACTTATTATTAATTATTAATTTTTAATATTTAGGGGTTTTCTTACAGTTAAACTCTATTAGCAGCATAAATATACCAACCTTCTAGTTCAAGATAATGACTGGAGAATGCCTCTATTCTTATTACAAGCCTACCTAGGAATATTTCCTAGTTTCAAACATCCAGTTTAATTATTATAATTTTAGAAGTTTCTGTCATTTTAGTGTCAAGATGGATGCTGTACATCCACAAAATGAAAAAGCAATGAGAAATCTGAACCTGCTCCATTTCAGTCCCAGTATAAAACTGAACTGCAGCCATAAAACGTGCTGATTATTTCTGGGCTCCTTTCCTAACAAAACAGTAGCCACACAATTATACTTGCCATCTACATATCTGCCAATTCTCCTCTGTAACTTTTGAACCTAATGGCCAATTCCAATTTTTCCGAAGTCTCAAAGATACTAAACTATCACAACTAGATTTTTTGAATCAGTTGTGCAGAAGACAGGGAACTTTTAAATGACCTCATCACAGATAAACTGAGAGTTCATCCCCAAATTGAACTACTGGGATGCCAGTCAGCAAGAACATGGCTCTACACAAGCTACACAGTATGTTTTCTCTTGTTTGGAGGAAAAAGCTGGAGGAATGGAAGGGCACATGGCTACTTCAGGTGGGCTTGATAACACTGGAAGAAGTGAGAAGCCTGTGTGTAAGCTGGTCACATGAAAACAAACAGGGGATTGTAGTAGTGGAGATGGAGGTAAATCTGTAGGATGCCCCTGTTCACAAAGCAGCCTAAATTTCTCTGCTCGTGGCCCTTCAGATTCCCTGGGAAATACGATGATGAAGAAGCAAGTAGGAGAGTTGAAATGTCAATTTTAGAATTTCTCTGGAATGAAACAGTACTTCCCAAACTGTGATCCCTTTCCAAAGACACAACACTACTTCTCTTAGGAGCACAGCCCTGCTCAGTTCTGTGTCTTCAGTTTGAGAATGACAGTCCTAGAGCCTACCAAGAACAGGTCACCTATAACCATTATGAATTTCTCACTGGACTCTATACAGTTCCTACTGATAGGAAGAGGTCCTGCAAATACAGTCTTTGATATGTTGAGCCCATTCTGAATCCTGGTGCAATAGAAAAGGGGCAGAGGAAGAAGAGGATGAAGATTCAGCTTGATATGCCCTCCTGAAGATCACTAAGCTCCAAGATAAGCCAGTGCTTTGTCCATAATTTTCTGTTTTCTCTCAACTTCCTAAAAACAGCCCAAACAAAGAGTTATAGCAGTCCATCCTGGAGCTGACTAAGATTATTAGGAACATTTATCACTAAGAATGGCACTTGCTCAAAGATGGATGATGGCAGCAGGCCACTGAAGTACCACCAAAAGCTGATAGACAAATATTCTAATGAACTGTTGCTCTCCTGACAGTGCTGATAGCATTGTGAAGGGTGTGACATATTTGAGGGCTTATAATTGTCTGCACACATTTCACAGAACAACTAAACAATTTTTTCAGGAAGATATGCTTTAGCCACAAATGTTTTGAAGGTTTCTTGAGAATCTCTCATGAATGATTGCCAGCGCAAGTTTTGAACTGGGCAGCATCTCAGTAGAGCTGCATTTGTTCCTCTGTTCAAACTTCTTGCTTTAATGTAAAATGTCAATAATAGGAAATGTTTACCACAATTGGCAGAATTGCAGCTAAAACCAGTTCTTTCCCTCTTTGTCCCTTCATCACAGTTATCCCACACACAACCTAGAGACAACAGTAGGGATAAAACATAAATCAGCTGAAGATGGCGGTCATCTGATTCTTTTCACCAGAGTTCTTTTCACCCCTTCTGGAAAAACACTGTCCATCCTCAATGTGGCGCACGAACAAAGAGGAAACAACCAAATACAATTCTTGCTACAAACAGCCCCAAAAAGAGTTGATCTTATTTCACCTGTGAAAGTTAGGCCTCTCTGCTTCTTATCTTCAACCATAAAGGGACAAAAATGTAATATACCCATAAAGTGTCACATATACCTACTAAGAATTAATAGCTATTTGTGGAAGACTGACTTACAGCTACTGGTAGGATGAGGATTTTGAGAGCTGAAGTTGAAGATTGCAAAAAGAAGAGAGGAAAAATATAAGAAAAGAAGATATAGTAACTAAATGATAATATAAAGTATCAGAAGGAATCAAGAAATCAAATTGCTGTGGTACCTTGAAAGACCAGGGTGTAAAAAGCTAGGCAGGTGAGTACTCCGACTACATCAAGATAAGTAAAGATATTGTATGGGCTGATTTCAGAGATGCTCAGAACAGATGTATTTGAAATTTCTGCACACAATACTATGCTGTGCTCCTGAGAGGTCCATTCAGCCGAGTTGTTACTGTGCTGTTCCTGGGGTAAGAACCATGTTCCAAAGAGCAAAGTAATCTCCTATCTAAGCCACAAAAGTGGCTTTTATGCAGACTGTGATTCTTTTGTACTACATATTTCTCCCCATTAAGTTTCTCTCCAAATGCAGAGCTCAATACACAACTCAGTAGTAAGTCCTGAATTGATAATTTTCCATGGAGATTAGACTTCCCATTGCTCTGATGATACCAGGCTTCAGAATTCGATGGGCTGGCTTTAGCAAGTGGATTTCCTACGGACTGCTGCTGAATGGCTCTGCACAGAGCCACAATGATATTAGTGTAACTTCACTGGATAGGGGCTTCCTTTTTGTTCAGCTTCCTGTTCCTGCCTACAGCTTCTAGGAATTACTGTAATACCATAATCAGTAACATTATTTAACATTTCCCAGAATATATTTCTGAGAATTATACATATTTGATGCAAGACTCTACAGGGATTAACAAAAAATACATAAAAACCATATGGAATCGCTGCTAATGTACTGTTCTTGCAGCTCCCAGATATTCTTGAAGGGTAAAAGAATGTATTTTACTACGTGTTACATAAAAGCAGAACAAGAGGAGTCCCTCACTCGACTCCCTTACATGGTTAAGATGCATTACCAGACTGAAACTACTGTTTCAAGTTCTATCCAGAATACCTGGTAGGTAAATCTCTGTGATGGTAGTTTAGCAATGATTTTAACTATGTCTGTGACAGTCAGAAAATCAGAGATTTTATCATTACTTTCCCCGGGATGAATTTCAGAATTACCCTGAGTATGATAAACCATAATAAACAAATGTATGTGGATTTCCAGAGTCTAGGACTCAGATAAAAGTCAAATCCTCTTTCTTGACCTAGGGAAGAACTCTTGGAGTGGTCTGAAGCTGGAAGAGCTGGCGATGTCAGCCTTGGCCAAGGTCAGGCAAAGGCACAGCCAAATTATTATGTGGCACCATCCATCTGCAGAAGCAGCTCTCACTGGAGTAAATATCAAATGCTCTTGCTAGAGCAGCTCATCCCAGCTTGAATCCATCCTTGCACTGTCATTGTCAGACTCAATGAGACACAAAGCTTAATGCTACTTTTGCTTCAGCCCTCCAAGAGCTGAGCATTACACTGGTGAAGCTAAAGAATGGGGAGATGCCTTCTCACAGCACTGCATATTATTAAGAGATAATCTTATTATTCCCAAGTGGATAAAAGCTAAGTTACTCTAAGATTTTTTAAAATCATATTTAATGCACAAAGTAAACTGACTCTGAATTAAACTATTAATTTTGAGTTGAAACCAAATTACTTTGGCTCAGGATGGGTAAGTCACTAGTAAACCCAGTGCAATTTCTGTACAAAAATGGAAAAGGTTCTACCACTGTTGTTGATCTGCTCCAAGAGCTCTGTGCTGGAGCACAGAAGTCGTATCAGGTCACATATTTGGGCAATACTGAACATGAATGGCAGATGGGAAGAAGACAAGGAAACATATCCTTCAAATAGCAACACTAGTCTTTGGATGGAACAACAATGCTTAGTACTCATAAAACTTTGTAGCTTCACTGTCTTTTTGGCAAAACATATTTACTGTATTGAAACAAATCACAGAACATTCACTGGGAGCCACATTTTCTACCATTTTCTGTAACACAAAAGATGAAAAGATCATCTTTCCCATCTGTCTGAATTTAAATGACTTACATTGATGAATAATTTTTAAAACATCAGTATACCAATGCTAATATGAATGATCATAATTTTCTAATGTTTTTAATTTGCAGTCAGAGATAAAAATACACAAACCCATTTCAATATTTTTTACATGCAGATAATAAACGTGCTTCTTCTACTGATTATCACATTGATTTAGGGTAGAGACATTCATGTATCATTATATAATTTTATTTAATGATTGTTATGTCTGTGGGTAAGATGTCTTATTTCATTTAATACGTTACATCTGACTGAAGGCCAGAGTGGATTTGATTAAAAAAATGCTCTGCCTAATACATTGTTAGTAATGACTCAGTTTCCCTATTTGCCCTTAAAATTTGAACACAAAGTAAAATAAGTCTACATTTCTTTAAAGCATGCAGGCAGCTGAAACACACATATTTGCATAAGCTGCAACACTTAGTGAATGGCAAAAGCCATGCAAACCACCAAACATGAGAAATACACTGTGGATGATGGAGAGGTCAAACGGAAGAGATGAAAAGGAAAAATAAACCATGCATCCATGAAAGTAATGGTAGGCACTGGTGGGAGCATAAGTGAACACCTCAAGGTGTAGAGAAAAAAAGGACAGATACCTACCCCAACCTGTGCTATCTAGCTACCGACCTGTGGACTTATAGTATCACCAGTTGGCTCACCAAATGGATCACTTGTGGAGGAGGCCTGAGACCCATCAGGCTAGAATACAAGAACATAACACCTTTTTTTCTCAACAGTAGAAAGTGAAAAGTCAACACGAGGTTATTTTCATGCTGTGGGCATAACAAGTACATCCTATCTCATGAAAACCAGGAAGTGAGACCTCACCCCTGATATATTCTCAAAAGCCATAATGGTTTGCTGTAGCTGATGCAGCCAGGAAAGGACCTCACCAGTTCCTGCTGGAGCCCAGGCAGGAGCTGCCACAGGCCTCAGAAGGTACTGAATCAGGTAAACCAGAACTGCAAAAGGCCCTGAAAGCCAGTGAAACCATGTGAATCAGAAAGAGTCCAAGCTTGCATTATTTTGTACCTTTGGGTCCTTTAGTTGTACAGACTCCCTCTTGCCTTTGGCTCACTCGGGCTCTTACCTCCCTAAGACACCCTGTGACTTACAGTCATTGCTTGGATAACATTTCTTGCTTTGGTCCATAAAGGCAAAGAAGTCACATACTGAGGGCCAGAACACTGAGGAATGTAACTAGGCAAGCAACTGGGATGCAAGAATGTGCAAGACAACATCAACCATCATCTTTTAACACACAAACTCTCGTATCTTTCTTTGCAGCCTCATCATGTTTGTTGTTTTGCCTCAGACTTCCTTACCATGAGTAAGTGAATGCTGGTATGCTAAAAAGGGGATTAGATACAACTAACATATACAACCTTACATATGAACTCTGAGTTTGGTTCCTTGTATGCAGTATTAGTGCATATCAATGGAAAAGCCATGCTACCAGCTATCAAACCCAAAGCAGGATGTGAATTCTGTCTGCAGCCCCTCCTTAAGTACCACCCAGCCCTGTTGGAATAGTTACTTCTGACACTACAAAACAATATTTAATTAACTTGTGTCTTTTCTAGCTAAAAAGAGACAATAAGGATTTAGAAACCTTGTTGCTACTCACAGCCTCTGGCTCCTCACTTTTGCTTGGGCTTTCGAACCCCTCTTCAAAGAGGTCATCTGCAGCAGGATCACTGGTATGAGATGCTGATGATTTTGATGGAGAACTCTGTCTGGGTGCAGGGGTTGGAGCTAAACAAAGATTAAGGCAATAGCAACAGAATATATTCTGTTAATTTCTTCAGAAAGACACAGCAGCACAGAATTTGCTCATGCTTTTTATCACTCAACTTTGTTACTCTCAAAAATTATTTTCTGATGAGGAGCTGTACGAGGTAAATTTGAATACTGTAGTCATTATCAATTCCATGTATTTGATCTCATTTGGCAACTTCCAAATTAAGTTTGGCTGCATCTGGCCTATGTCTTTAGGAGCCAGGGAGATGCCACTACATTACATTAAGAATGTGTAAGTTGCCTGCCCTGTGGCAGGTAAGTGAACCAGAAGGTCTCTGTCTGACTCCTGGATAATCTGTCTCATGAATTCCTCTGTTCAGCAATCTGCAAAATCCCCCATCTCCATGCTACAAACACAATAACTTTATATTACAGCTCTTCAATGAATTTCCCCACATGTCCAGTACATCAAGCTATTAAAATAAATATCTATCCCCTAATTTCTTCAAAGTATGGCTTGGATGGGACATAAGTGAAACCATTTGTAAGGCTGAATGTCATGGGCATTTGCCAACCAGCTTGCATGGCCCTAGCACAAAACATATATTACTATCTTAGAAATTAAATTTCAGACTACAGCTGTCTGGGCTGTTGATTTTCATGGTCTCTGAAATTCCTCTCTGATATTTTCCTTTATGGTTGGAACACATTTAATAAGCTGGACATGCATGGAGGTTCTCAGTTTATATCTGTGTTGGATTTACTATATGAAAAACCAGAAATAAGTACTTTGAGGAGTGGTCACATTTGAGGAAAGGTATGCTGAAAGCATAGGAATACTCACGTGAATTTGTAGATGGTGTTGTGGAAGTCACAGGAGTCAAATTTAACTGAGAGATGTCAAAGTCATCACAATCATCTGCTTCCTGTGCCATCCCAACTTTATTAAAGTAACTTGAGAAGGCCTCTGAGGTACAACTGAGGGAAGGCTGATCTGGTTTTCTTGATGGCACTGGTGGAGGCTGAGCCATCTGGAAATCTTTAAACATTTCTTTTCCCATTTTCTGTCTGGGCCTGTCTGTCTGTGGACTCGATCTGTTGGAATCACTTGTGGGTGGAACAGTAGCTATAGGAGCAATGGTACCTTGAAACATGGCTGCTTGTAAAGGCAAAACAGTTTGTGTTGGCATGAAGGCAGTTGGTTGGAACTGACCAGCTACAGATGGCCACGGCTGCTGAGTAGGAGGAAAAATACCAGGCTGGCCCCATGCTATCGGCTGTCCTCCCTGCATCACCTGAGCAACTGGAGGCTGAGCACCCATGGCCAACTGCTGTTGAACAAGTGGTTGCTGTCCCCAGAATGAGGGCAGAACAGCTCCCATGGCAACATAACCTTCAAAGAATAAAGAAAGCAGGAGGGGAAAAAAAAAGAGATAAAAGACTTTAATGCTACTATCAACAGCACGCAGAAAAAGCTACACAATAAATCAGAGAAGTGCAAGCTACATTAGTGATCCCAGAGCTTCAGCACACTTGAAAAGAAAACTGAAAGACATGGTTGGATTCACATCACTGAGCAAATACTCATATAAAGAACCACGGGCTGGTGGGTATTGGCAATAATCCTTCCTCTCATCTGAACAAAAACCTCTCCTCTTCTTCCTCAGTGAGCACCCCCTGGGCCTATGAAGACCTGTGTGCAGGGACCTGGTCAGTAGCTGGGCACTGGGCAGTCCTCTTCCCTGGTGCTCTGTCAAAGCAGGACCACTCACCAGAATCACAGCAGCTCCCAAACCACTTCCTAAACTCATCCCCTTCCAGCGCAACCCTCCTCCACACCACTGAGTTCTGCAGGCTCTTCTTGCACCTCTGACTGCCCCACCCTCTGCCTTTCGTCTCTGCCTGTCCTTGGAGAAGGAGCTCTGGGACTGAACATGATGCACAGGGTCAGGCTGGGATGGAGTTCAGCTCCTTAGAGCAGCCCATATGCTACTAAAAGATGAGCAGAGCAAGCAGAGGGAAGGAAGAGGATGCTCAGGATTCCCTCCTGTCTGCTGCAGTTCCTCATCCTTTTCACTTTTATTCTTTGTTGTGGAGAGGGACCCACCACCACCAGTCAGCTCCTGCCAATGGCACAGATGCCAAACTGGTTATAAGGGACAGAGAAGGACCTCTATATATATGACAGCTCAAGGGCTCTCTAATGACAGTGTGACCTTATTGCAAGGGAATGACTCTTCTGACACAGTTACAGTTCAAACCATTTGGGCTCCGAAAAGCAAAGGAAGTGTCTCAAATTGCATAATAATAATAATGAAAAAAAAGAGCCCAGATGAATTCCAATTAAAAACCCTCACATGTGGTTATTACCCAATTACTTTAGAACATCAAAAACACCTTGAGCTTCCGCTGCACTAAATACCTAATAACAACAAACTGCTTCAGGTATTAGGCTAGCATAACACCCCTCTTGTTGGGGAGAAAATTAAAGATTAAAACTAAAATTATAATTGCTTCCTATCAGACCTGAAGCCTCCTTTCAAGCTACCAAGAGGCTGACTGTGTAGGAATTATATCATCAGGTGCTTTTTTATTTACAACTACAACTAAAACTACTATAAAAAAATCTTACCAATTAAATCACCTAATATAATTATGTTCCACTGATAAAGGTACTGTGCTTTACAGATACACTATTTCACATTTAAATTCATTATTTACTGCTAATACTTTGCAGTATGTAACTTCTCGTTCATCTTTAATAGCTTTAAAACTCTTGTTTCTAATCTGAGTGTTTCCCGAGCCCTCCTGTACCTTTTCCTCTTTGCTGTATTTCTAGGCTGTTTTGTAATCCTTAAATGTAAGGGTGGTTGAAATATTGTAAAGGGAAAAGCTCAAAATAAAATAAAAAAATAGAAACTGAACTTTGAAAGACAAAATTACTGAGTGATGAAAGGAGTAGTAGCTCAGATATATTTCTTTTTCAATAGATGTCCGTGATGGATTCTCCAGATGTCGTTTTATCTCGCCCCTGCTGTAACCTCATCTGAGCAGTGAGAGTTATCCCCAAACACTTCACCATCACTGTAACCTTTCTGAGATCTGACGCCATCAGAGAAGGAGTTAACTAATTAGAAAGTCACTACTGAATGATTCAAACCATGCCTGCTCCTCCTTTCTTTTCCTGAGTGGAGCTGAGAGTGCTGCTCTCGCAACATATCCCAGGGAGAGATCAGCAGTCAAACCACACACCTCTCAATCTCTGCAGAATGCTACACAGCTCCGGAATCCTGAGCACTTTGGGGACACACAGACAGGTCTAAAGGACATCTCAGGACTTGACAAAGTGGAACACCTTTGAAGTGCAATCAAATTCTCTGTGTCTCAGCCTCTATTTACAGGAGGCAGCAGAGGATACTCACCACTTCCACAAAAAAACCCAAAAGTTAAACAAAATGGTTTTTTCTCTCTTGCTACTGTACCTAGAAGGTATGTTATCCAGATGGCTGAACTATGCCTGAACTCCAAGTGACTTTTTTGGCTTTTGCTTTAAAAAATGTGGGCAAATTCAAACTAATGTACTCTCTGCTTATTAAAGACTTGCTTTGCCTTGCCCTGGAGCACCAACCTCAAAAGCCTTCCCCACTTCCACTGTGCTAAATTAATGCCCCAAGTACTGAAATGCAAACCAGAGCTAAGAACTGATCACCAAATCTGAGTCAAGCCTGTAATTCCAGTACATTTCTTACCTGAGGGTACGGCAGCAGTGCTGAAAGGTACAGAACCAAACATGTCTGTACTAGCAGGAAGTGACTGGGATGAAGATGGGATAAAGGCATCACCTGGAGTAGCAGGAGTCTGCAGGAAGAAAGGAATAAAATCCAAGGGTGACATAAGAGCTGCAGCTTCTGCTGCACATACTTTTCTGCCACATCATCCATAACTCTAAAAATCCGGGTTTGGAGTAAAGAAAGAGAATCAAGAAAGAATAGAAAGATGTCAAAGGAAAGAAGTAACAGAAATAATAGTATTAGAATTTGCTGGTGACAGGATTAAAAGAAAGAAAAGGAGAGACTTTCTATTAGAAGAGAAAAATCAAAATGAAATTTGCCTGGAATATAGCACATGCAAAACATTGACATAATTTCCTTTTCCAGAACATACAGACTTGTGATTCTAGATATTAGGGGACAATCAGGAGAGACAGTGATCAAGGCATTAATGTAAGAAACAGTTAAGGTAAAAGAAGATTCTGCAGGAAAAGTGAATAAATAATGCTTCTGGTTAACCAACAGGACCAGAAACATAGGTCTACACTAAATGAGAAGCCCTAGTGCCAGCTATGCTCCAGAACACCTTGGAGATTTGAGGCTCTTGACCTCACATCTCCTTAATTTTCTCCATACATTTATACTTCTCTACAGCTTAATGTAAGGCTCAAAAGCTTTACAGAAAAATTACTGTATTTTCATTTTATCACGCAGAAAAGCATGTTGAAAAAATTTTCATTGCCCTCAAAACACATTCAGCCCTTTCTCGCTCTCTCTATACTGTTTCATCTTCGTCCTTTAACAGCAGTTCTGGGATATGTGCTTGGTGGAACCAGAGACATGATGTATGAGGCTGTAACAGGATCTTCCTGCAGTGCAGTGGAGAGACAGAGTGCAGTGAAGCATGTCCCTCTGATAAACATCAGGGGAACAGATCTGCAGCTCAGGTTGTATCACATGTGACACTGAATGCTATCGTGGAAAAATTAAAATCGAAGATATTTGTGCCCATCATCATGAAGCAGGGACTCTGCATTCAATTTGCTTCATTTTTATTGTCTTGTAACATAAAAACTACCTTGAAATTCTCCCCACTGGAATGGCTGATGACCCGAATTGTAAATGTGCTCAATAAATGTTCTGAAAATAGCACGTAAAATAAAGCACAGTTCAGTTTCCCTGAGTACTCACTGGGGGAGAGGTTACATCAGGAGGAGTGGACATGTCCCCAAAAAGCTCTAGTTGGGTAACAGCCTGTAAAGAGAAAAAAATAAAATAAAATTCCGTCTATCTTTTGAGGAGAAGAAATTGCAAGTTAAGTAGTTACAGCAAGGAAAGTTATCTGATAACAGCAAACAATATAAATCCCCCCAAAGCCATATAGGCTTCAAATGCCAAGTCCCATATGGAAGAAGCACATGGGTTCGAGATGTGGCATTTTGATACTGCTGATGGACCCCGACAGCCAACAACTGACTCTATAAAACAATTCTGTAGGGAATTGTCCAAAATGAAAAAAAAATGAATAAAGCATGAAAAAACTATCCAGAACAGTACTGGAAGCATTACTGCTCTGCCTTTAACATCAGTGAGCACCAAGCATGATTTATGGCCAGTCCTTCTCCCTGGCTTCTTTTTTTAAACACCCATTTCAAGGTCTTAAAACATGGCAGTGGAGTGTGGAGTGACAGAAGGATACAGAAGGGAAGGGCTTTTAAAATGCTGCCTGATTTCTCTTTGCCCATGGGACAGGTGTGACCTGAATAAGTGGACTTGAAGGAGGATGCACAAATGGGTTACTGCAAGTTTTTCACTCTACATTTAATTTGTGTTAGAAATATTTTCTCAGGACGTCCTTCAGTTTGAGCTCGAAACAGGTCACCCATATAGACCTCACTAACTGGACCAGGAGAGAAAAAGCACTCTCATAAAAAGAAACACCTTGAGTGGCTGCATAATCAAAGCTCCTTCACATGTTCCCAAGTAAAATTACTCCCACCCATCTGCAAATCAGTTCAGCTGGAGTTCAGGGTTGTTAAAGCACAGATCCCTTAGAACTCTGCAGGAAACCTAAACCCCATCTACCATCCTTATCAGGGTGGCTATATTGGAAAGCTTTGATGGAAACACAGAACTACTCCTCTACTACCTTTCTTACTGGCTTTCCCTGTATCATACTCAATCACACCTACACGTGTGGGAAGGCACAATTCTCATTATGAATGAGATTTAATGCAAATCTCGATTCAGCTCATTGAATCTCCTCCCCAGCTTAGTTACAGACCTTGCAGTCTCCAATCACATGTATAGGTTTGAAATCCAGTTGAGTCTTGACTTGCAAAGGCAGCCCCCCTCAGTGCTTTGGACATTAACCAAACTGGCTGGTCAGGCTTTACAACCTACCAAAGGAGAATATCACCCCAAGACTTTTTCCTGCCCTCAGCTTCCCATTATAAATGATCCCTTAAGGAATAAGACTACACATATCATAAGTCTATCCAGCTTTTCAATCCAATCTCTATTCCCACATACAAAGACAATGCTACAATCACTTTAGCATGAAGTTCGTTTAGCAGCTCGGACAATTCTCAGCTTCATGACAATGACGTACCTAGGGATGAATTACCTCACATTTCCTCACATCATGTGTTATATTAAATAGATCAAATTGCTCTAGTGCTATGAAAATGGAATTTCTTCTTAAGGGCTCTAAGCATCTGCATGGAAATGGAGAAGGGAAAAAGAAGAAAATCCATGTTTTCTATAGGGTGCACCAATTCTAGTTCACATTACTGAAATACTGCCAGAAAGCTTCTGCAAAAAAAAAAACAAAACAACACAACAACAAAACCCAGCTTGTGAGTCACTTCTGCAGTGTACACAAGCACACTAGGCAAGGGTTGTTAAAATGCTCAGAAAAGTGGGAATGACAACAACAGCACTTGTTTGGAAATCACTTCAAGCCTCCTGTAGACACTACTGACTCAAGAGATGGCAGGTGACACTGAAGCACTCAGAGAGCCACTTTCTGCTCATCTCTGCAAACTGCTTGTTTAGCATCACTCCTAAACCTGCTCTTTTCCTGCATCACTAGTGAACTATTCACTGTTTGCTCCTTGCTGGCTTGCTAAGGAATAGCTTGTGTCCTTTTGAGGAGACCATGAGCAAAGGTTCCCAGTGTGCTCCCATCCTTCGTGAGGGAGCAGATGAGCAAGCCAGAGAGGATGTGAAAGGGCAGGATACACACAATCATACAGTTGTGTGTAGAGTTACACATTTTCTGTGGAAAAAAATATTATACATTTCATAGGAATACTGAAAATTGATAGTCAGTATACTTCTGAACTCAGGATTATATGACATGCATTTGAAAGGTGGTAACTCAGATCTCTGTGCCTCCATACTCCTATATAATGGGAATAATAATAATACTTTTCAGAGTGCTTCAAGGTGATGGATCTTAGGAAACTCTTCGCAGATATAATTCTGTTAAAGCTCTTAAGGGAAACTCTGCAGATGGATTTCTAAACAGGCAGCTGGAGAAAGTGATAGGAAAGTCGACATCACTGTTTGTTATAATAAACCCTCATTCACAATATTCCCCGGTAAAAAGAAATATATTTACAGGGGAAATATTTCTTACAGAATAGCAACTTCAAATGCAACAGGAGCTACAGAACTACATCAGAGAATGTAAACAAATTTAGTGGGAACACAGCTTATTAATTTACTGACTAGAGGCAGCTTTAAACAGCAACATTTGGAGATGCATTTTAAAGTCCCAAATGGTTCAGATCTGTAGTAATTTTTCTACAACTCAGTTCTCAGCCTGAATAAATGAATGCATCTTCTCTGACACAGACTTGGGTTTATCCACTTGCAGCACATGAGATTCTGGACACCAAACAGTTATCTTTTATTTTTGTGATTTCACTGTCACTACAGAACTGATTTTACCCATTATGCTTCATTAAATTATTCACATCTGATATTAGCTACATTCCAGTGAAGTTAATCCCAAGCTGAACATTTTCCAGTATCGCTATTCCTATAGATGATTTCATCTATATTTCCTTAAAACATTTTTAGAGTCACAACCTTACCTGAGTGACTGAAACAAGATTTTCATCAATGTCCAGCAATAAGTTTCCATTCTCCAGCTGTAAAGCATGATTTATGAAATGAGATGAATGATTTATGAAAATGACATGAATTTCTGAGCATGAAAATGATAACCTCCATAATTATTGACTTGAGCATTGAAATGAAAACCCTTTCCATCTTGCTGTGAGCACAGATATGAAATCAGGCAGTCAAAACAGTGAGTTTGAATGCTGCTGGGATGTGAGGGAAACATATACTATTTGTGCTAAATCTCATCTTCTGGTGTATAAGGTAATTTTACCACTCGCAACATAACTATTCATTTTCCCAAATATTTATTAAATCAGCAATAAGCATACCCAGTGAGCTCTGATCCTGCTTACATTAATGGAACTTTTCACTGGCTTGGTGAAAGAAAAGACTTAGCATCCTCAGGGAAAAAAGGAATAATTGAGTTTTGAACAACAAAAGCTCTTAAAGGCAAGTATTTGCAGGAAAAAACCTACCAATTTAAACACATCAAAGATAAATATTTTCTTTCCAATTTCTAAAATTACATAATTCAAGTTATACTTAAATCTACAGTTTGTGTGTGTGTAAATAACTTGGGAGTATACTGCCCTCGGACACAAATATATCTGTATCCATCCACATATTTAACATATATTATCACTTGAATGTCCTCAGAATACTAAATTTCAGGTGACATTTATTGTACTGTTGAAGACTATTTCTGAAGAAACAAACATAACAGCAAGCTATCAAAAGTCAAATCTTAGGCGACTGGGAAGCTTCATACAAGTTACCAGCCAGTAATCCCCTGCCAGTTTAAAAATCTCAGAAACAACCTAGAATACTTCCCCACCCCCCCATCTCATCACAGATCTGAAGAAAAAAGAAAAAAAGACCGGGAAAAGGCAAAGCAAAGCAAAGGTGAAGCCAAAGGAAGATAATGTCATTGTGCACAATCACGTACGGACTCAGTCCTGTACCTTCTTGGCGTGTTCCCCCAGCCCCAGATAAGGAAAGTGTGATAAAAGCTGTCGGTTTATTCAAAGACCACAGACCTTCAAAATATTCTTTATATGACACCAGAAGGGTTTGCACCTTCAGGAGGGCCCAGTTTTGGCCAGTAGTTAATCACTTTTTGCTCTGACAGCCCCCCTCATTTGACTCCCATCCTCCATCACCAGTGATGCAGCTCCAGCCGCACAGATCACTCTGTGAAACCAGCTGAAGGATAACCACATCTCAGCACAGAGGAACATGTGCATGGCATTTCACAGCCCACTAGAAATTCCCCCCTGTGCTACAGCAGGACCTTGTAGAAAACATTTGCCCAACATGTCACGGTGCATCCCTAAGTGCCCAATTATCATGGAGCACTTGAGCCACATCTTCCACTAGCTCGTGTTCTGCATCACACACCAGCGAGGAGACACTTTCCAAGGGTGAAATATCCCTGTCTGTTAGAGCATGGAAGAGCCTGCTATGGGGGGCCGTGCCGAGGTGGCAACATGGCTATCAAGGGCAAAATTTGGCCTTTTGAGCCCTCCTCAGGTTCAGCTTTTCAACACAAAGAGTTTAACCTTTGCAATGAAAGTCAACAATCCTCCCCCTCCTTCCCCAGTGCACAACAGAAAATAACCAGAAGCCTGGAGACATGCTCCAGTTCTTGATCCTTCTCCGGGAAAGATTCCTCCACAGAGTGATGTAAAAGCTTGTTTAATTATTCAAAAAGACATCATCTTGAATATGAAATACCCCCACCACAGCTTAGTCAACCGGGGGCACACCAGTCACTCGTGACCAGCCACGCAGACTGAGGCGGAGGAAGGAGTATTAATCCTTGTATTGCAATGACATTAAACCTGTAATGAAAGCTCCATCTTTCTATACAGGCACATGAGACATATTGTAAATCTTTTAAACATGAAATATGTAAATATGGCTTCTTAAAGCAGCAGCAAGCTTTTTGAACCACTCCAAGCCAGTAGAGGAATTCCTTGTGACACTTTCCACTATTCTTTAAAGAAAATCATATTATCCAAGAGCTGGAGAGAAATCAAGAGTACAGAAGCAATGATAATCATAGAATCACAGCATATCCTGAGTTGGAAGGCATCCACAATGATAGGAGATAAGTAAACTGCAGTTTTCATAAACCTAAACCAAAACTGATTCACTTCCACTGCAGTATTCCCTCTGATTGCCCAGACTTATGAAAAATATCTTTTCTAAGCAATGCAAAAGTTCAAATTTTAAAAGGGAAATCTAAAACAGGGCTCTTGTGCTCACAGGAGTATGAAGCACCTTCTTCTTTAGTCCTAGATATATATTGAGACAGAATAATCAACTTCTGTTACTCAGTCTGTTTTTACCAATGGTAAGGGATCTATGCTGACATATGGCATGAGAAAACCTGCTCAATATTGCTACACTTTTGAAAACAAGACGATAAAAGTAGCATCTTACAAAACGTGATTTTGTAATCTCAGAGAATGGAGCAAAGATGGTGCTTAAAAACATGAAAAAAAAAAAAGTGGTAATTAACTTGTACTCTGATACAGAGCTCAGAAAAAAAAAAAAAAAAAGGAGTACGAAGGATACTAAATATAGCAAATAACCAGCAATTAGTAATTAACCTTTGAGCTGAGTATTAGCTATTCAACTCCGTTAAGACAGCAGAGGGATTTAAACTTGATTTCCTGCATTCAGTGGAAGTGCTGTACCACTCAGCCCAGCAGACAAAAGAGGGGTCACCCAACTACACGGCCTCTCTGGATTTCCAATTCCCTTTTTCTAATACGGATTTTACACTGCAAGTTTAATGACAAGTCAAATGGTTGGTTAAACTAAAGATTTTTAATATTATTTCAATTGAAAATGTAAATATTTTGACCACGACAAACAATTTTCCTGATGGTTTGAATCACCACTGTAGCTCAAGAAAGCCCCAGTTTTTTGCACAACCGTATACAACACATGTTGATATTACTATGAGCTCCATGAGCTTCAAGAAGCTTGCTAATTAAATACAATTCATTCTAAAAAAACAATTAGAACTATAATGAAGGAGCATGTCGGAATCGTGACTAAACCAATCATCAGTCAAACCATGTCTAGTAGGTTGAGACACACTGAAAACAAACCACAGACATAATGCTCTCCTGTAAAACTACTGCTGAATTAATGACGTCGTGTGGTAACTCAACAAAGAATTGCTCAATTACTTCCTAATTAAAGAGAACACACTGAAGAATATGTGTGCGAAGGAAAAATTGTCAATGACTTTGCAATCTTCAGCCTCCAACAGATCATAAAGATCCTCAAATGCCATAAACCTTCCCAGTTATAGAGGGAAGGGCAGTAACGATGTTCCCCCAACCCAGTTTTACACAGGTATAGCTTCACTTGTGAGGCTCTGTGAACATTTAATCGTAGAATCGGGAATGGTTTGGGTTGGAAGGGACCTTAAAGATCATCTCATTCCAAACCCCTGTCGTGGGCAGGGACACCTTCCACTAGACCAGGTTGCTCAAAGCTCCATCCAACCTGGCCTGGAACACCTCCAGAGATGGAGGCAATTCCCAGCTGCTACAGGTCATGCCAGCAACATGAGCTGCCATAAAACTACATCGATATTTATCCAAAATACATTCATTTGGGCATCCAGCACTTACACAGGGTACATCCAGTGCTCAGGATCCCATGGAACATGGGAATCCTCCAAAGTTTCTCTCTTCATAGGGTTTTATAGGGTAACTATTTATTTCTCAGGATCACTCTTATTCAGGAAATTCTCAGAAGTCATAAACCCAAGTCCTGGTTTTGATGTGATGTACCCACCCACAGGGTAGCCTTGAGCTTCTTTGCACTCACCAAGTGTCCAGTTTCCTTTGTTTGATCACTGGGTGTGCTGGTTAAAAATCCTGTTAGTCAGCCCTAAGCAGCTCAAGAATTGAGATGTTTGAATATAATTGACATCACAGATTACGGAGGAGTTTGAATTGAATTGCTTCACTGTAGCTTGATAGCTTTCTTTAAATTAAGGAACTCTTCATATGATCAAAACAGATGCTTATTCATTTGTTTATTTTCTCTTCATTTGCAGGGAACTTAATTCTGAATTCCCTGTGTACTTGAGGTGTTTACTTTTATAGGAAATGGTATTTAAAAAGCTTCAATTACCACTTTTCTCTGACAGACTCTAATAAATCAAGAGTCCAAAAGAGTGACTTTAGCTTAGAGCCAGACCCCTGCTGCTCCCAGGCAACTCAAAACTCAAGATAATGAAACTTCCCAGGGCCCAGAGGATCTGGTGCAAAGGTCCCACAGTGACCTCCTAAATATCCTCTCTGGACACCCTGCACAAGACACAGTAAGAGCTCAGACAGGTTGGGATAAGCCCTCTAATGTCAGGGGACTCCAGCACTGCCTGGGGGCACACTGCAAACAGCCATGGGATATGTGGTGGCTTTCTTTAACTGCAGGTGGGAGAGACAAGTGATGATGAGAACTCAAATTTCCACTTGGAAGCAAAACTCCACTTCTAGACTGTGACAGCAGAGATAGTTCTGAATGCTTGCAGGGAATAAACTTAACAATGGAAGGGAGTTAGACATAACCCCATATTTACTATTTTAAAATAATTGCAAAGCACAGTTACACAGTTGTATCTACTGCTTTTCAAAACAACAGGTGACTGGAGCTATAATCAAGCTTGAGAAACAAGTTATTTCTGCCTTCATTACTGAATACCTTGTCTTCGTGGTACTTTCCAAACCTTGAGACCTCCTGAGTTTCTGCAGGCAAAAAAGCCCAGACCTGTGTACTTCTGTACTTAATAATGTAGGGTAGGATTAAACAAATCTGCAATAATTTACAACAGCTTCTCCCCAAACTGATGCAAAATACATACAACACTTTCTCCAGAACTATATGATCTTAAATTTGTGAATAAACCCAAATTGTGCAAATAATGTAATTCAATGCATACAGTGATGCAGAAGAGGTAAAGCCATAAACTTTACTATTTAGAAAGCAGACTGCCTGT